TTGAACTGTGGTCCCTGTGCTTTGCTGAGCTTGTTCTATTCTAAATAGGTGCTTTAGTCCACTGAGCCATCTCACCAGCCCTCCCTGCATCATTTCTTGATATTTAAATTTTTCAGCTTTTCCCCCCCAGCTTTTTGAGTCAGTCTCCTAAATATCCCAAACAAGCCTGAAACTTCCTTTGAGCCCAAGCTGGCCTTGAGCTCCTCTTCCCACTCCTTGCTGGTTCTCCCAAGTGCTGGGATTATTACAGGTGTATACCATCAGGCTTGCCCTTATTAATTTTTTTTTTTTTTTTTTTTTTGCGGAGTCAGGGATTGAACTCAGGCCCTTGCGCCTAACAGGGAAGCGCTTATTCTACTCAGCCATTTCCCCAGCCCCTTAATTTTTTAATATTAGAGAAATTTCTGGGAGATGGGTCAGTGGAATAATCGCTACCCTGGCAAGCACAAGAACATGAGTTCAATCCCCTGTTCCGCCAAAAAAAAAAAAAAAATTCAGGGAGCCGGCCCAACAGCTCAGCAGATTAAAGCACCTGCTTAGGTGGACGCAGGGGCCAAGGGGTTAATCCCTGGCCTGCCATGCGAGCCCCACCCCTGGGGCACCCTGAAACCTTGAATGAAACTGGGCATGATGGCACACACCAGTAATCCCAGTACTTAGGAGGCTGAAAAAGAGGAAGGATCACTACAAGTCCGATCTGTAGACCCTGTACTAAATACTAAATAAATAAATAAATTTTAAAAAAGAAAAGAAAAATTTCAGCCAGGCATGAAGGTACATGCCCATAACCCCAGCGCTCAGGAGGCTGAGGCATGAGGATAATCATGATTCAAGGCTAGACTGGGCTACATGGAGAGTGAAGGACAGCCCAAATTATACAGCAAGACCCTATCTCAAAAAACCAAAAATTTTCAAATTTATCTAAAGGTTTAAAAACAAGTACATGGGGCTGGTGAGATGGTTCAGTGGTCTAAAGCACCTACTTAGAACAAGCTAAGCCAATCAAAGCACAGGGACCTCGGTTCGATCCCCCAGCACCACATGCCAGCCCGCCCTCCCCCTGGTGGGCTGAGCTGGCCACACACTAAATAAATAAATAAATAAATAAATAAATAAATAAATAAATAAAATAAAAACAAGTACAATGCATTCCCAAACGCATGCCTATCACCCACCTTTGTTTTGGCTTATTTTTCCCTCCTGTGGTATTATGGCATTATGGATTGAGTTCAGGGGCCTTCACGCTGAGCCATGTGTCCAGTACTTTTTTTTTTTTTTCTTTTTTCTGTATTTAGGACAGGGTCTACTGGGTCTCACTACACAGATCACACTCAGTGATACTCCTGTTTTCAGCCTCCCAAGCACTGGGATTACAGGTGCGTGCCACCATACCCAGTCTCAATCTCCACCTTAGGGAGGG